AAGAAGACCACCTTTCCCGTGGTTTTTGATTCGTGGTTTTTTCCACGGGGCTGATATTTGATCAGGGCGAATGCCAAGGTGGGGACCTGGGTTGCTCTCTGATGAGAGCGTTGGGTCCACAAAAGATTCCCCACCTTAGTCCGAAGAAGCGTTTGTGAGGCTGAAGAGTTCAGTGCTTATCAAAAGGATGATTGGGATCTGAGCGACGCTCGGTAACCTGTAACAGCAGTTCAGGGTAGAGCAAGAAGTCGTCAGGGAAACCCTGGAAATCATTTTAGATAAGAAAAAGCTAACAAAGGAAGAGCCAAACGAACCAGTAGAATTGTCGGGACGACAACCTCTTTGGAGAGGGAGCGGTGCACTTGGACACGGTGCATTTGGACACAGCCAATCACAGCACCGTGTGATTAGAGACATTTGTAGGGTCCCTTGGAATAGCCACTTGTGATTGGACTGTGTCCAATTGCCCCGTGTCCAACTGATATACACCCCTTTGGAAAGGGGGAGCAGTGTTGCATGCGCAACATTCACGGCGTTCAGGATGCATGCGAGTCCTGAGCCGGAGTACGGTTGTCATGGAGCGGTTGACAAACAACAGCTGAGAAAGAGAGTTGTGAAACGGCTAGCGCGCGAGCCAGACGTGTGACTCTGTCGAGAATCTAGTTTTCACATTAAAGTTCTTTTCTTTTCTATAACGAGTTGTTTATTTCCTCCGCGTCCGCGAGTGCGACGTTCTCGACTCGCGAGTGCAACAATATGTATATATATATATATATATATATATATATTGTTTTTTCTTTTTTTTCCTTAAATCTAGCGTTGTTATACCGATGATTTTCGGTTTCCACGAAATAAAAATACATAAGAATTAATATAAATATAAAACAATCCCCGAAAGGTCGCGGAACCCCCCCCCCTTTCTATAAAAGTTATACCCTTCTTTTTCATATTTTTTAAGAATTTCTCATATTTTTCAGAATTTCTCAGAACCTAGATGATGAGAAATTGTGAAGAAATTTCTGAGACATTTTTCTACCAGAATAAACAGAGATGTAATGCTCGTATATTTTAGAAACTATTGTGTTGTGCCTAACTAGGCCATATTGTGGTATGTCTAACTAAGTCCTATCGTGGCATGCCTAATAAATAAATACACAGCAAATATGCATAATCATTTAATTGACAATGTTACGAATTTGAAATATAATTTACATAAAATGACTTCCTTTCCTTTTGAAACCTTTATAGAAATATCATACTAAGAATCATTGATAATTACTTATT